AAGATATTAAAGAATTTATTAATTGCTACATTTCATACATTGCTGTATGTCTGCAATACAATTCTGTACACATTAATACAGGTTACATAATTTTTATAGTTAAAAGCAAAGAAGGCAACACATGAGTTGTGGTCTCGTAGACAGCGATCTAGTAATCTTGTTGGAACTGTCATCAACATTCATAATGGAGACTGGGTGAGGCGAGGTAAGCGTAATTTACAACAATTAGCATAATGTATGCAATAAATAGAAATTCAAGATAATGTATTACTGTACTTTCAAGTTCAATGATATTTTCATATTGTTTTCTTGCATTCTGTTTGAGATGAATATTAAAAGGGAATGTGGTAAATGAAACCTAACCTACTTTACCTGCTAAAAATTTATAGTATATATAGTACAGTGGCAAATTCAAGGGTTAGGGGTCCCTTGGCTTTTTGTATATTTTTTCAAATTACAACAAAAATGGAGATAAAACAAGAAAATTATATTCAACTTTATGCCTGAAAGTGCCATTTCATAAATTTTCAAACCTCAGCCCGAACCACCACGGTGGGTCTGAGGTAATATTGAACCCCTATCTGTGAAAGTCCATTCTTGGTCCCCCTCTATTTTGAATTCCTGGATCAGCCACTGTAGTGTAACCCATCAATGTTTTGTTTTAATATTCAAACTCTCTTTCTACATATATTTGATAAATATATTATTCCATATGTTACTTTATAATCCAATGATATGTAAATAAGTGCTTATGCAAGAGATTATTATACGATGTACTATGATCTTTTTCAGACAGTGGAGTTGGTGCTGGTATTGATTCTTATTATGAATATTTATTGAAGGCATATGTTTTGCTTGGGGATGACAACTACCTTGACTGGTTTACAGCTGTAAGTACAATACACGATATTTTACTACTACTCTATCTTAGCTGCAGTAATTGTTTTCAGCCATATTTATGCTTCACTATATGAGGATTGCCATTCCCAAACCAGTGTACTGTCGCTAATTGTTAAACTGAGTAATTAGCATAAGAATGTGGCAGCATTGTATGCTTTAGTACAGTGAAGCCATAATAATTTTACTCTTAACTTTGGCAATAGTAAGTCGATTCCAGTAAATGGCCCATCATTTTAAAGTCAGACTCCGGAGGAAAAACAAAAATTTTGATATGTTTTAGCACTGATTTCTCTAAGACAGAAAAAAGTTGTCTGACAAAAAACTGGGGAACGGTGAATAAGATACAGATTTTTGAATATTTAAAAACTGGGGGGAAAAGGTGTAAAAATTAGCAGTTACGCCCCTTTTCCCCCCAGTTTTCAATGATCATGTCTTAAAAATCTATTATCAATAGATAACGATTTTAGTATCATAATTGTTTTAATAATTATCAATATGATTATCACTTTTATGCTTAGCATTATGATGCTATCATGCGTTACATTAGTGATGGACCTTTACTGATGGATGTTCATATGCATCGACCTAAAATTAGATCCAAAAACTTCATGGACTCGCTGCTTGCATTCTGGCCAGGACTACAAGTAAGTTTAAATTTATTTATTATTATTAATATCTTTCTTTTTGTATTTCCTATTATAACCCTTGACATTGCAAACAGTATCAACTAGAATTTATATTTTAAATAAAAATATAACCTTCCTATATTATTGTATGCAAAAGGATTTGTTTATTTTCAGCCAGGGTAAAAAAAAAAAAATTTCCTCCAAGGATAGGAAGCTTTGTTAGCAACCTGTGTTGTGTCTGTTAAATGTTTGTTTATGCCGATTGACCTTTAATAGTTCAAACTATGATGTGGTTTATTGGTTTCAGGCAGTATAAGCAAGGGGTTTTCTAGTCAAAGATGGTATAAGTGGGCCAGACTCATAGGTTGGGTGCGGGCTATAACAAAGTTGCCATCAGGCTGCATGTGGCCTGTTGGTTGCAATTTTCCCACCTGTGAACTAGAAAGAACCAGCTTAAGATGCTGTCATGTATCGCTCCAAATGCATTACAATGAGACCTTATCCAAAAATACCAAAAGACCTAATAACAGTATTCTAGCATCAGAAGAGAAACAAAGTGTACATAAAATTATTGAATGGTTTGTGGTAAAGCTAGGTATTTTTTGAGTACATTCTTTATTGAGCAATATTTCCAGCCACATAATGCCTCCCCAGGCCCATAGCCAGGTCATTTCAAGGGGGGGTTCTCTGGGCATGGGATCCAGGGGCCTGCCTAAGGGCCCCGGTGGGGTCGGGGGCCCCGAAGCCAGAGCAGTTTTTGTGTTTAATGGGTGTAAATAATGTTATAAAAGCAGTTATGTTTTGAAAAAGATCTATGTAATAAAAAGGTGGTAATATAATAAAATTAGAAAATATTTTGTGAGTGGATTTCCTGTACGATTAAAAATCGTAACGGTATTACATCGTGAGTGGATTTCCCGTACGATTAAACATGGTAACGGTACTGGGTTTGGTCTACAGGAGTTCGAACAGGTCATTCCATTCCTAGAAGAAGCCTTTTGATGGAGAAAGTGTACCTTTTTAGCAAAGGTTTGCCTAGGTCGAAACTAACTCTGGCTATATAAAAATTGATTAGAATATTGAAAATGTTATTCGTGTTAATGAATAGATAAAGATTACTACTATGTCCGTTTTTATTGATTGATCTACGTGTATTTACTTTCATAGTTTATATTTAAAATTGTTTATAAATTTATTTAAAATACTATATAAAATAATGTAATCATTAAAATTTATGATAATAATTGATGTTTAAATAAAGCAAAAGATTGAAACATGTTAAATACAGACACAAAGTATACATAGACCTATTTCTAGATTACAGAAAATATGTAAATCTGTATTAAAATGATATAAATTTATATATATATATATATATATATATACATAGAAATATTATGCGTAAATATAGAAGAATAGGAAAAAATTTTGAGCAGCTGAAATATTAACCGAAAATGAACAATAATAATCATTTTGTCATTATTGCATCACGTTTTTGTGAAAATAACCCACCTTAAAGGACTATCTGTCGTTTTCTTCTTTGCCGCAGTGGACGAAAAAAAGTCAGTTATTTTACGACGTTTCATAATTCTTTATCTCTAAAAATTAACAAACACTCGTTTTGACGTACTCCGTTCTGTTGTGTGTGTGTGTGCTGTTGAAAACAACCTTCCTAATTTTGTGACTGGCTATGATGACTGAGAATATACCATGTTGACATTAATAATATTTTGTTTGGGGTGGAAAAAAGGAGAGTCAATTTCTCAAAAATGCTCCATCAACAAATAGGTTAGTGTTCGCTGCGGACAGAATGGCTATGGAATTTACTAACCACACAATCCACAATCAGGTGATTTAAGTCGCAAAACTTTATCTGCATTTGGTGGATTAAGCAAAACTTTAGCTTTGTTTTAGTGGTGCCATTTACTCTAGGTAGACGGCGACCAGTTTCGTTACCGGTTGGTACATTTCTTACAAGCATTCAGGCAAAGGCCAGTCAAAATCGAGACGGGAGCCGGGTTTTTATCGATATTTGCCATCCTTATATGTGAGCCATCGTAAATTCATGGTTTGTCGGAGTTGCATTCAATTAAAATTTCCGAACTTCTGAAGCTGAGATATTCTATGAATGAATGCTTGTATCGCAGGCTAGTATTTAAAAACGGGTGACCAAATAATGAATTAGGTGCTAAATTTTGATTTAATGCTGGGTAAGTTAAAAACAGACATTCCATCCGAGTGGGACTCATTCAAAAATTCGAGGGGGTTCATTTGAAAACAGGGGGGTTCGCCCGCACCATAAAAACCCCCCTGGCTACGGGCCTGCTCCCACAGAAGGTAATTTTTAGTTAGTGATTTAAATTATCCTGACAAGTATATTTATGCCACTTTAAGATATTGATATGATAGTTGATCACAAGTAACCCTAAATATTGAGTTTGTTTTTCATTCAGGTTTTGTTTGGTGATGTGAAACCGGCAATTGAAACACATGAGCTTCTTTACCAGGTCATACAGAAACATAATTTTTTACCAGAGGTAATTATACTTAGTGCATGCGTTACTGACAGCTATGTATAACAATTTTATTGAAATTTAAAAATCACATACATGTTTCTGTTTATTTGTATATATCTTTAATATTCTAAATGGGTTTCTTGACTAGACCTGTTGCCTTATGCCAGTTATTATTGTTATTGATAAATATTTTTGATAATATTATTATTCTTTGTATTTGTTTTCCTCAGTTATTAATATTATTATTATCACTACTATTGTCATCACCAGCAGTAACATTATTATTGTTAAATATTTATCAAGGTGAACCCCTAACAAAATGTGAATAATTATGAGCAGCACTATTTAAAAAATCAAAGTTAATACAGTTATTGATTGAATGTTAATACAGTTATTGATTGATTGATTTATTGATTGATTTTGCAGGCATTCACACCAGATTATAATATCCATTGGGGTCAGCACCCACTCAGACCCGAGTTCACAGAGAGTACTTACTTCCTTTATAAGGTCAGTTAGAGATAAGTACCATATACGGTACACATCACATTATTTTTATCAATCATTATTATTTTCTTTTCCTCTTAACATTTACAATAGTAAATCAATTCCAGTAAATGGCCCATCATTTTAAAGCTTGTGATGTGGAGAATAGGAATATATTACAAAGTCAACAATCATTTTGTGGTCGCTGATGCTGCTTTGGAATGGCAAGCCCCATTTGAATTAAGATCCATGTCATAGAAACAAGCAAGGTAACTTATAGGCCTAGGCCTACCTCTATAGTGCTGTAATTGTAGTTTAGTGCATTGGGGTAGATAACTGGTGATTTGTGACAGCAGTGTTTATAGCAGTTTCCAGTGCGCGAGAGTAGAGAATGTCTGAAATTTTATTTAAATAGGCGCATCATAGTACAGTTGAACTTGCCTATTTTTAAGTCCAAAATGGCATTGAAAAATTTGACTTTGAGATTGTTAATTAATGGAAAAAACAATTTGGCATTTAGATCAACTTAGGAATTTTTTGAGTAGGCAAAGCCGACTAATAGGCAAGTTTAACTGTATATTGTAATCATAACCTGGTTACATTTTAGAGTTTATTGTCCTCTCATAAAAAGAAATGTGAGAAACACATGTGAATCATTTAATGGCTCAGCTGATGAACTGCATGACTTTGTTGCGGGAGTATCATTGGCGATTCCAGGAATTCAAAATAGAGGAAATAGACCACTGCAGCCCCACCATTGTTAGGGCTGAGGTAAGAACATTTGTGGTTATGGCATCTCTAGATAAATAGAAATTGCAGTCAGACCTAAATCTAATTATAATTTTTCTTTTTTCTCCATTTTTTCATAATTTGAAAAAAAAAGTGTTGGGGGTTTGGATCGGCTTCCTCCCTCTCCGTGCTGTAATCTGCCACTAAGTATGCAGCAGATGGTGGAGTGCATGGCCATTACTGATAAGTGTTTTTTTTTTTATGTTCTTGTAGGCAACCGGTGATCCATATTATTTAGAAGTTGGAAAACAGATTGTGGATAGTCTTCAACAGTATGCTCGTGTCCCTTGTGGCTTTGCTGCTATCAGAGATGTTCGAACAGGGGGTCATGAAGACAGGTACTCTATTTTTCATATCATTTATAAATATTGATAAAAATACTTATATTATAATATGAATGAATATGTATTTTTAATAAAGCAACACCGTGTTAACACTTTATTTCCAAGACTGGACAAGAGAATAATAAATGCCAGTCATTACCGTAAAAGCCAGAAAACTCATGGTAATCATAATAATAAGGTTAATAAACCTTATTGTTATGTTTGTATTGTGATAACTACAATAATGTGAATTTGTGAGAGGATTAATAAGATCAGAAATGGGAAACAGTTCTTAATTTTCATGAAACTGCTGATCACATTTTTTTCAACAGAATGGATTCCTATGTACTGGCAGAGACATTCAAGTACTTATATTTACTATTTGCGGAGAGTGAAGAGCTTGGAGTAGCTATCGATCAGTATTTGTTTACAACTGAGGCCCACCTGCTGCCCCTAACACTGGCTCGTATCAAGAATAATGACACCAACCAACCCATACAAAAGGTAAACCTTGGGCTTGAATCTCATCCTAATATTAAATGATATAATAATAATATCTCTAATTGTTATGGCACCAATTCCAAATACGGCAAGTTCAAAAGCGCAACGCTGTGAATAGCCACGGAAGACAAATATTATATTTGTTTTTTTATTATTATTATTTTACTCCTAAATACTGTGTTTTTTTAGTATTTAGGTAGCTGGAAACATTGCTGGAGTTGTATGGTAACTGTGTAGGGTGTGATATGTCCAATTTCACTAGCTTCTGTGCATTCATTTTGATACTTACCATTCATCTTCATTTAATCCTTATATTTTTGCCAATATTTTGTTGCAGGAAGACTGCGCGGATGATACAGTGTCAGTGATACTGGAGCGTTCTTGTCCCAATCATAACTATTTATTCCCTGGCGGAGAACTTTATGCACATACAGTCAGAGAATCAATGCAGATAAAAAGAAAGCCAAGTTGTGGCAAGGACTCAAATAGTAAACCAAAGTAAGGCAATAATATTTCCATGTTTTATTTAGTAACATTGACATACCATTCATTTTTTCATGTATGAATTTAAATGATTTGTTTAGTTAATCTACCAGTCAATAATGCCAAATAAAAAAAAATTATTGTGTGGGCCACGCTCGACCGACGAAAAATATTTTGTTTAATGTTTCAAAAAGGCTGGAATAAGACTATCTTGCTGGATGGTAGGTGGTGCGACAGTGTTATGCAATCGTTTTAAAAAAGATTTTTAAAAGATTTAAAAATGGTTTTTGTTGCATTTTTGTGTATTTTCTTCTTTCTAGGCATAAACATAATTTTGGTAAAAAAAAAAAAAAAAGAAACAAGCCTGTCATCATGTTTGTATGCAAGACATCTTTATTTACAATAACCTAGACTATGTTTAGTGATGTGCATTTTTTTTTTCTTTTAATACTACGAACAGCCGTTTAAAAGCTTCAGAGTTTATTCCTGGCAATGCAGACCAGCTGAGAGACTTGAAAAGAATGGGGATTCGCTTAGTTACCATGAAAGATGGACGTGTTCAACTCATGCACACTGCTTCACAAGTAAGGTTTCCAATTTGAGTAGTACTAGGATATCACTGTTATTTCATTCACAACAGTGTGCCAGAAGTTGGTAACATGCAAAACGTCATACTGTCAAGGTTCGTTACAAAAGACAATGACAAAATTACATAAAATATACAAATATAAGAAAGGCATTGAAGCTTATTTTATACAATTTATGACGCACATTATTTAAATTTTTTATAAAATTAAATTAGTATTTCATTCAATTGGATAAAAGGATTGTTCCAGGAATGTATAGTAGATGAAGAAGGATGAAACGATTGCTTTTTTTAAAATCAAGCAGATTCAAAATTTATACTTAGGGCAAACAAGAGAGTTGTTAATTTTCAAGTCTTAATAAGGTCTTGGAGGTACCTTATTGATTTACTGTAAGCCTACCTTGCTATGAAAGTTACTTTTTTCCTTAAGCAAGACACTTTATCTATGTTGGTTTTTCTCCACCCAGGTGTAAAAATGGGTACCGGCATATGCTGGGAAGGTAAAAACAGACTGCAGTGTGGGAGAGGAATGGCAAACCCCCACAGCCCTGCACAGTTTGGCCCAAACGCCAAGGAGAGAGAGACGGGCACTCCAGCCTGTGATCCCACAGCTTCAGGTTTTGACCTTTACCCAACTACCTTTAGGAAGTTATATTTCACATTGAGTGTTGCACAATATACATTTTGCACCTCTCGTATAATAAGTATTACATGTGTAATCATTTTAGGCTGCTGATACTCAATCTGCAGAAGATGGTCTGCTATTCATGCAAGAGATGATGAAACTTTCAGAGGCTCAACAACAAGGTATGTACTTGTATGTGACAATTCAATAAATATATACTATCTGTGGTATTTTGGCTCATCTTTACCATTACAGATGTCAACCTTTTAAAAATACACTAAAAAGTGTTATCACTGATGTCCCAGATGTAACAGCAATTAGTGGGTAGACTACTGTGTAGGTTAAATTAATATGTCCTCATCATTTCACAAGAATAACAAGCACATGGATAAATTTCACCACTATGATAACTTTGTAAATGGTGTTGACACTGGCCATGTAGCATTGAAGGAATAGACCTCCTGAATACCATTATTGCCACACAAGTAAATACTGTAGACTAGTGGTTGTAGCTTGTGAGTTATTTGGTATCGGGGAGAAAAGAGAGGGGACATGATTAATAATAATTCATCTTATTTTCTTCTTTATAGCAGAATATCAACCACGAGCTGTCCAGTTTGTAGAACCAGCAGTAGTTGGTAATATTGTGCTGACTGCTAATCCTGCACAGTTTGGGCTTGACCTACTGACAAATCCAGGAGTAAGTGTTCATGAATATACCTCTCTGCACTTATAAAATCATACACTCACTTTTTTTATTTCATATTTAGCTTGATATAGCGACAAGTCAGATAGGCCCATGTACAAGATGTTCTATTAGGACTACAGTAATTTGCAATTAATTCCGCTCACGAATAAGCACCACCCTAATGAAGCCTCCAAATATAATATAAGCGCCGCGATGGTTTGCTCATCTTCAGAAGAAACACTAATAATACTTAAAAATACTAAGTCTATATGGCTGTCCTTACTATTCAGAGTTTATATATGGAGGCTATAGCTTTTTAAACCTGTATTAAATGTTAGGTTGAGAGCATCCAAGGAGCTCTCATTATTTACCTAATTTTAATTTTGTACTTTATTGATTTATTCACTATCTCTAATGTTTTTCTTATCTCAATAGGCTTTAATTTCAGCTGGACTCCTTGTAGATTATTTGTTATTGTACCACTTCTGCACTATATATGGATAGATGAGGTCTTCTTGAAAAGGATCAAATAATAGATTGAAATTTTGAATCTTCAAAATGTTTCTTTTTAGTTTTACTGTAGTTTTTACGGTAGTTAAATACAGTACTTTGTTTTGAGTTGAGATCAAGGGGCAAGCCATTGCAATACAGGAGAGAAATAATGGCCCTAGAATGCTGTAAATATCATTTATATTTGTGACAGGTACTTTTCTGATTTCCATTTTTCAAATTTCTATCATTGTTAATAGGTAGCTGGTGGTGTGGTTGTTGCAGATCCTGCTAATGGTTGTTCTGCATTGCAGAATGGAGCATCAGTGAAGGGTCAGATAGCATTAATCACAAGAGGAGATTGTATGTTCATTGAAAAGGTTAGTGCTGCATGTTTTTGATGTTCATTAGAAGGTGAATGACCAGTTATTGTTGTTAAATATATATTTATTTTTGCTGAACTAACCACATCAGAAAGCCAAAACGTATGTATGTATGGCCATGTTTCTCCATAAAATACCATTGTAATTTTCAGCCAAAATAGACAATACTGCATTAGTTAGACATGCAGTTAACCCTTGCAATACTTCCATTTTAAAAAATTTCAAGTGTTGTTTGTTGTAATTGTTTTTACAGGTCCCTGTTGATTTTACCTTTACCTCGCATAAAAATTTGATTCTTTTTAAAATAACTTCTCAAGCTCTTGGCCCTTTTTCACTGATATATGGCAACAAGTGCTTTGGAAACAGCCTATGATAGTATGCAGTACTGTTCTGTAATGAGAAGATATGAGGCTTGTCATCCCAAAACCAGCATTAGTGACCAAAAAGATGAATATTGACTTTTTAATATATTCTCTTTCTTCACATTGTAAGCTTTAAAATGATGGGTCATTTACTGGTTTGGATTTAATATTGCCAAAGATATGTATGTATTATGGCTTCCCTTACAGTATTCAATACTGCTACATTCTTATGCTAACTACTTGGTTTAACAATTAGCAACAGTATGCTGGTTTTGGAATGACAAGCCTCAATGCTAACTGACTGGCATTCCTCAGTCACACTTCTTGTGTTTAATATCTGCATTTTGATTTATAGGCTAGGGTTGCACAACAGCATGGAGCAGTTGGAGCCATTATCATGGACAAAGATAGCCAGAAGGAAAGAGATGAAAGCCATGCATTTGCGATGTCTGGAGATGGAAGTGTTGATGTGACCATACCAGTACTGTTCCTATTCTACAAGGAAGCTCAAATATTACTAGATGCCTTAAAAAAATACCCAGATAAACTTCTTGTTGCATTAGTTGATAAAATTAATTCTGAATGTAAGTAGTGTAAATCCTCAAATAAGCTTCAATGCAGCACTTATTTAAAAATATTGCATGGCACTTTCATTGCTACCTATCTCGCGTATTCCTGTACACCAATATTGTGTTATTTCATCATTTGAACAATGTACACATTGTAGTTAGTTTAATAAATCCGGCCCCTGTTTTACAAAGTGTTTCATTACACACAGGGTAATATGAACGCTTGATTAACATTTTGCAGGCAAAACACGGAGATCTCAGTGTTTGAAGTTTTTTTTACAGAATCAGATAGATGGGGTAATTACCGACATGTAATAATTTGAACACATATTCAGTTTGGAACTTCAGTATTTCACTCTTTGTTTACATTATCGTAGAGCGGTATTGATTTACTTTCACGACATCACGATTATCTCAGTTTCGTTGTGCAAAATTTCGTAAATCTCCAAAAGTGAGTCATTTTCATTTTACTGTTACGGGGCACAGATTGTGGTTCTTGTAGTATTCACTACATGTCAATCTGATCACATACGCACTCTCAACAAGCTTCGGAATACTGTTCAAATTTGCTACAATTTCTGGCGGTGGCTTATACTACTTCATCAAACCCCTTTAGGTCAGAGTGTTAAGCGCCACGGTGCTTATTCAAGGATTTACGGTAGATTTCTTTATACATTAAAGTACTGTGATGCCCTCAATTCTTTTTTGGCATATGCATCCTCATTCTTCTGTGTCTTATGGCCTGTTATAGATTTTAGCAAGATCATTCCATGTTAAGAGATAAAAATATTTTTATAATTACATAATTTGTATGAAATGCACAGTTATTTTTATTCTTATTTGTAGATGAACTTGCTCTTTTAAAGGATGAATACTATTCGGAGAAAAGTGTCAAGGAAAGGCACAGATCTTGCTATGATGCGGTAGGTGTAGCAAACCATGAAGATATCAAGAGTTCTGAGAGTTTGCTATGTGAAACAGACAGCATGTCCTCCAGAAACAAAAAAGAAAACATTGACAGCACAAATGAGGATATGATTATATCAAAATACAGTCTGGATTTTTTGCAAGATATTTATGAATTGATGCTGGACCAGGTAGAACAGGGAGAGCAATTGCCAGAACTCCAGGAAGCAAAAATAAAAGCAATGCAAGAAGTATTAGGGAATTCACAAAAAGAAACAGATTTTTTGGAAGAAATTTTAAAATTAAAAAGTATTCAGAAGATATTTGTGACTGAAAAAGGGGAGAAAATAACAAATCATGAATGGAAAGAAGAAATTAAAAGAAGACTTAATGATATACAGAACAGAAATAATGAACATAATATAGACATCTTACAGCAAAATCTAAATAATAATGGAATTTTAGAATTTGATGAAATAAAAAATATAAATAATAATGAGAAGGATGAAGCACATATAGATGTGGAGGAGGATGAACATGAAGGGTTATAATGAAATATTCACAGTATAATACTTAATTATTTATTACTTTTAAGAAAATTAAATCATATCAGCCTATTATACTGCTGTATATTCATGAATATTTAAATACAACATAAATATTTATTTATTCATAATTATTTTCTTTATACAGGTCTCCAGTTAAAGACCACTTCTGGTCTTTGTTAAATTGGGACCACATAAAAGTGGTCTTTAATTGGAGGGAGACCTGCATTTTAGAAACTTCACGGGTCACAATAAAAAAAAAACCTTTGTCCAGATTTGCAATGATTTTTGTTTTATTTTATCAACTAATTTCATGCCGTGATGTGATGTGATAGATGTAACCACACTAACTATATTTGGTGTCGTGGACTGTCGGCAATAGATCCGCCTCAGGAAACCCAAACACAAGCAAAAGTAGCAAGAAGAGACTCGACAGTGGCAACAACATCAACCACTTCACATCATGTTTCCATTGCATATTAAATCTACAAAATGAGGAAAAAAGAGCAATTAAACTCAACTTGTTAATATAATTATAATAGAATGTTGTAAACCTGTCGCACAGATAATCAGACTTTACAAATGAATTAGAGTTGGCAAGACCCAATGGCTATGTTCTCACACGGCTGCTAAAGGTTAGCAGGATCCGGATCCTGCTAACCATTAGTTGCCGTGCGTCCGTACGAGAAAATCCCGATCCGGATACCAAAAATATGATGATTGAATCACTGGCCAATAAGAAACTGGAAATTGTAAACGCGTACGTGTGATTGATTGATGATAAAAACGCGCTCAACTTGCTAACCGTTAGCGGTATCCGGATACTGCTAACAGTTAGCACTAACGGTTAGCTCCCGATCCGGATACCAGGGCTCTCGTGAGAACCATGCTTTAATTGACGGGAAAATAACCAAACGAGTCTTGCCATCTTAAAACCAGTGTATGTCGCTAAATGTTAACTGAGTAATTAGCGACAGAATGTGGCAGTATTGCATACTTAGGTACACAGAAGCTACTGTATATACTTTTACTCATAACTTTGGTGATGTAGGAAAGTGAATAATTTTTTGGTTGGTAATACAATATTTTTTATATATACTGTAATTACTTCAGCGGATTTTAAATTTGACCTGTGGTCATCCAGATATTCAAATGGTTTTTTTAAAACTATTTATATTTGGTAATCTGTATTTTAATGCATGTTAAATAATTCAATCATAAAAAAAACTTTGGCATGTTTCCAGATTAAGGAGACAGTATTAGCAACCTTTATGTGCCAAACTGTTTTTGTGTTTTCTTCTATTCATTTAATTTGTGGATATGCAGTCTTCTGGATTGATTTTTATTTCAAATTATTACTGGAAACTACCGAAAAGAATGTTTTTTAGGCCCTATATTACATAACCATATTGGTTATAGAGCCTTGATAATTGGTCAAAATTAGAATTACGCCCTTGGTCAATATATATTTTAAATGTATTGTGATGATTTGTTTTTTTAAATAAATAAATACACATTATGGTTAATGCAGTCAGTCACATGAAGCATGGAAAAATACTGTAGTGATAGTTTTATTTTGGGGTTATATGACCTTAACCCCCCCCCCCCAAAAAAAAAAAAAAAATTAATAAAAATTTAAAAAAATAAAAAAACAGACCTAGCTGTGAATGTGGTAGTAATTTCTTGTGCAAAACCATTGGTGACATGCACAACAACAGTACTTTGAAAAGGGTGAGGGGGACATGTTACTGTGAGCTGATGCATTCCGGCTGATGTGAACTCCATTTTTTCTCCAAGGTTATAGCTTCCAGCACGAATCTACCAAAATGAAGAACATCCTATTACCACTCATTTAGGAAAGTTAGCAAATGACCATTGTATATTTGATTCGTATATTTTTTATTGTCATAAAAATGTCATGATATTTGTTTTCCTTGTTACATATGGTAAAAATAATCAAAAGACAATATAAAGTTAGTTAAATGTGTTCTTATATTTGTTAGTTTTAACTTCAGGTTGACAAGAGTCTGTCAAATCTATTTACAACAATGTAATCATGCAATGGATGAGTTGTATCTTCCAAGGTAAACTTAAATTTTTTAAGTAAAAGTACTATTGCACAAAGAGTCAAGATTAACCACATCATTACCTATCAACATGCTTGCCTTTTTAACAGTTTTGTATTTGTTTATGGCTGTTTTCGGAGGTGTGTTGATTATACCAAATCAGTGCAATAAGTCATAACAGATTGGATGACATGAGTAGATAATGATGTGATAAAGCATGGATTAACACAGAAGCCTAAGTATTTATGGTTTTCAACAATTTCAACCAGTTCATGATAAATAAACATTAATTATTTATATCACAGACTTTCTGTAATTTCTTTTGTTTTATGTACATCAAGAGTTTGATAATTAGATTTGCACCAACAAATAAATGAGTCAACATGGGAGTTGTAGGCAGTAATATCATTATTGGTAATTTAAGGCCAGTAAGTGTATGGTCTGCATATTTCACATGAAAGCATTCGGAATGATCGTCAATAAGAGTGAAAGTCACTTGAGTATATGCTAAAAAGAAGTGGTGAAAAAAAGCACATCCTTGAGGACCACCTGTATTGTACAAAAGTTTACTGAAAGTTTTACTGTTCAATCTATCATGTAAATACAGTAGTCAGCAATCCGGAGGTTTAATCTGGGGTTAATATCTACAGCTCTCAAATCATCAACTAATAAGTAGGGCTGTATAGTATTCAGTTTGTACCTACCATCACATAATATGATTTCCAACGGTATTGCTGTGGGCGATTATCTTGAATGTCAATGTCAACTTGAAATGTTGATCCAGTCAACTCCTTAAAATTATCAACAACTGCCACCTGAAACTAGAAAAAAATAAATGTATTTCCTTGTAATTCCTGTTTTAAAACCCAAAACACTCACAAATTGTTGATAGATTTCTAGTAAGTTGAAGTAGGGACATGGAAACAGATTCTCTCCTGCTAGTTGTGGTACCACTTCTAATTTAGGAGATTTCAGTTCTTATGTTGAATATCAAGGGGCATTTATTTGAGTGTATACGTATCCATTTTACACACAAAAAAAAATATAAATGCCTCCCTCGAATAAACACCCCTCAAAAACCCTTCTCAACAATAAGCGCCAAGGGGCGTTTATTCAAATAAATATGTAAATGCATGTACATGTACAACTTATGTATTGTCTGTATTTTTGAAGATTGCAGTTTTAGCAGAAGATATCAACAAAGTAATAATGCTTAATATAAAAATAGTACTGTAGGAGCGGTTGGTGCACCAGTTGTGGCTTGGACTCCCAACCTTGAGGTCGGGGGTTCGAAACTCTGGCTGTGAAAATTACTTGTGTCCTTGGGCAAGGCACTTTATCTACAGTTGCCTCTCTCCACCCAGGAGTGCAAGTGGGTACCTGGTAGGTTCCAACACAACCTGCGCTGATTACTAGCTGCAATATTATGGAATGATAATATAATTTCATTTACTAATTTAATTTGGTGTTTCAATGTGTTCCATATGTGTTTGATCCAATGACCGGGGTAGTAATGTGAAGCACTTAGAGGCCTTGTAAAGGCATGAAGCGCTATATAAGAACGACATATTATTATTATTATGGTAATTATTCAAGATTCAAGATTTCATATATTGTCCAAAGTAGAAATACTAGGCAGCAAACAATTCATTCGACAGTTAAAATACAAAACATAAAATATATATACAAAATAATGAACATATGATTATAACATGTAATTAAAAAACAATATATAAAAAGCAAACATGTTAAAAGTAGTTAATACAGCTGTAAGTGGTAATGCTGAGTACTAATAGTATTCAGAACAAAGCACTATGGGCCGGACTTATCAAACTAGAAATCAGCTTAAATTTGTCTCAAGTCCATGTTTTTGCTTAAGTCAAATTTATCAATATTGCTTAGCTTAAAAATTGCTTAAAATTAAAAAGTCGATTGTATGCATGCGCCATCTAAGACGATTTTTAAGCTAAGGTTTTGCTAAGATGGTTTGATAAATCAACTTAAGATATTTTCTCAGGGACTTCTTAACTTTTTTGACATTTGCTAAGCTGGGATTGATAAATTCCGGACCAGTTCACATAAATAACCTTTATCTTTATGTATCAGAATAAATATTATCAAACCTGTACTGTACGATAGTTGCAAGCATGATTACACTTTGGATATTACACAAATAACAATATGTGTTTCAAGAGAAACAGAATATTATGATTGCGATGGATATTGGGGAGAGCTATTATTTTATTTTACACATATAACGAGTTGTCCATGTTCCTTTGTTCTACATCTGTTTGTTCTACATTTTAGGCATTTGAACTTTGCCTTGGTATGTACTTACAACATTTAAATAAAGAAAATATTACATTTTAGTTTATTCTGTCCCAAAATTCAGTGATCTTTTTTACACGTAACTTACTTGGTTATTCCAAAAAGTGAACTGATTCAAAGTCGGTGTTTCACTCTTCCAGTCAGAAAGCAAAGAGTGCTCTACATTTTCGTTATTACCAACTGCCAGAGAGAGAAGAGTGCCATCCATGGTAGCCAACAGAAGTTCTAATCCTGGAATGGTCTCCATTAGATTTGCAGACAGCACCTGAACCAAACTGCGTTCATTAAGTTCAATGGCTTGTAAACACTGCCCTGATGATGACAATATGTAGAGGTTCCCATCATGTCCTGCAATCACCTACAACAATAATCAACAATCAATATGACAATGCAAACAAAACAACCAGAGTTATCACTCTAGAGTGCATACATCTGCCCTATGCCTGAATAAACAGGCAGTGTATAATGGATGAAACTGCAGCATACCCTCAATGATAATGGAATCACCAGTCGCATTCAGGCACACTTATTTTCTTTAGTGCCACAGAATACCCTTAAGAAAATAACCTGTCCTATTCAGGCGCACTGTTTTCTCACATGCTTCCTGAATACGTGAGACAATTCCATTATTTTCCTTTACGCTAGAGGGTAAAAAATCAAATTTCTGTGACCCTGGCTGTGTCCTCCGACCTTTTCTTCCAAAAATTGAATGGCGTCTTTCTTTAGTATGTACCATTCCACTAAATTTTATGAAAATCCATTCATTAGTTTTTGCATAATCTTGCTAACAGACAGACAGGAAGAAGACAGACAGCAGTAAATGCATAACCTCCTTGGCAGATGTAATTATCCAGCCTTCTCTATTCATACACAGGCATTTCTTTTATTGTATATAGCCTGAAATTTTAGGGGAAATAAAAAGTATTTTACAGGTGTATGTGTAATTCAATTGAAAAAAAGGTGTTGGAAATATAAATAAGTCATAATCAACAAAAAGAATATACAGTAAAGCTTACTATGTCAACATTTGATGTGTCTGGATGGAGGTTAGTAATGAGGACATTAGATGTAATACGGCCGCCAAGCTGATGATGCCAATCTTCTACCAATGACCCAGAATCACCTTTGAAAGCCCACACAGACCTACCGACAAAATATTTTAAAAACAGTTCTTTCAAATTTTAATTTTATTTGATTTAAATTCAACCAATAATATAAGCTTTTTGTAAAGCTGGTATTACCACCAACTGCAAAACCTGTGGAAAATCGTATGCAAGAATTAAGCAGCCTTAGTGTTGAATTGTTGCTATGGTATAAATAGTTCTGTTTGGGATAAAGTGGGTTGTGTGCATGACTGTAGGCCACGGAACTTAAAATTTTTCTATTCTCAAAAAACTTTTTAAACTATCCCATGGTAAGGTGTTAAGCCGGGCACATAACTGCGTCGTACGACTGTCACAACCGAATTCGAATTCGAGTCCACTCCCTGTGAGCACTATACAACGCGACGCCATCTGCTGATTGTCGGTGGCTGTCTGAACACATCGTCATTAAAAATTATCCGATGCACGCACGTGGCGTTGCGTTCTTCATAGATTTGTTGGCGGCAGTGAGTGCCCGGCTTTGAAAAAAAAAATTGTCAACGTCCCTATTATGGATGCATTGATCAAATAATGTTATGGTAGGGTGTGTGAACATGTTCGATTGGAAGATATATCTGATAGTCAAAGGGATCTTGGATGATTTGTGAGCATTAAGCTTTGTTTCATAGTGGTAACATCTACTGTGAATCATAATATATTAGAACTACTGTACTGAAAAAGTACCATAATTCTTCTTTTTAAACAAACATCTTTATAAAGAGCCTAAATACGCACCCATCATCAGAAGCAACCAATACGTCAAGTATACCATCACCATTAAGGTCAACAACTCTTGAACCAGCTGATGAGGTACCTGATATCTCTGACTCCCAAATTACGTCTCCCATGGCATTCACACACATTACATTACCACTATTATCTATTACTATCAGCTCCAAAACACCATTCCCATCTAGATCCTCAACTGTAACCTGTATAACAAAATTTGTGTACAAACAGAATTTAATTACTTAATTTAATTCCTCCCCAGGTCCCCTCTATATTGAATAGCTGCAGCACTAAAGGTATGTCAAATACTCATATCATTTACAGGGGTGGATTTAGTAGGGAGCATGGGGGAAGGCAGCCTTTTTGCCACTAAATTTTAAAAATTTCAATGCAAATCAATGTTAGATGCTACTCACTTACCTATTCTGAAACTGTTGTGCACCCCCCCCCCCCCCCCCCCCCTTTCCAAAAAATAAAAAAATACCGTAGAGGTTGTACGTTGTGTAAGGCCATTACTGTTTTCACAAAATGTTGCACACCTTTAAACTTTCAGTAGAAGATACTATCTACTTTTAACATACATATAACAACATAATATAGTATAATGCAATATTACAATACACAATCTCATCTTCTAAAAAAAAAAAAAAATTATTAGCATTACAAAATCCAAAACCAATATAATAATTTAAATCTTACTTGATAACACAATTTTACATTTAGCCAACAAAGATATAACAAGTAATTTTTTCAGGGATTTTTTTTTGTTCTTTTGTTTTACTAACAGTAACAGTTAATTGCTAGATGCAAGATGATTCAAGATAGTTAAATATACACTGCCAGAAAAATTGAGGAAAATCTCCAAAATTAAATAAAATGTTTAAATAGCTCATTTAAAAGAATCACATACGTTCTTGAAGATCACAAATCTGGAAGAAATATATCGTAGCACAATCTGCTAATAAGGGCATTTTTTGACTACTGTATCGACCAGTGAGTGCCTCGGATACAATGGCATATTTTCACTAAATAACAATAACTGAATTGTGTTAACATTATTAACAAATTTATTGACTCAAAATTGTTCTTTATTTAAAAGGTAATATGTCTTTTATTTGCCAAGGTCTTTCTAAAATTATAGTTGAAGATGTAGCAATATTCAATATTATGCCATTAAATTATCTTCTGGGCTTCACAAACACAGACTGATTATCTCACATCCTCGCAAAATACCACTGTCACAAGTATCTTTAAGCATTATTGCTGGACACTTTACCTGACCATGAATTGTTCCAAATGACTTTGGAAAGCCTGTCCTCAGATGACCATTGCAATCTAATACAATCAAACGGCCAGCTGATGTACACACTATAATCTCCAAAGGTCCCGAGTTGCCATCTAAATCTATAACAGTTGGTGTAAAAAGCTGGTACGCTGGGAACTCAGCTGATACCTGAAAGCATAGTATTTACAGTTTACAGACGAGAGAGCAGCTTAGCTCAGTTGGCCAAACTGGTGGTAGCCACTATGTATGCACCTGTCTCTTATACACATCTAGATGTGTATAAGAGACAGCACATCAGAAAAATTGAGGAAAATCTCGAAAATTAAATAAAATGTTTAAATAGCTCATTTGAAAGAATCACATATCTGGAAGAAATATATCGTAGCACAATCTTCTAATAAGGGCATTTTTTGACTACTGTATAGACCAGTGAGTGCCTCTGATACAATGGCATATTTTCACTAAATAGCAATAACTGAATTGTGTTAACATTATTAACAAATTTATTGACTCAAAATTGTTCTTTATTTAAAAGGTAATATGTCTTTAATTTGCCAAGGTCTTTCTAAAATTATAGTTGAAGATGTAGCAATATTCAATATTATGCCATTAAATTATCTTCTGGGCTTCACAAACACAGACTGATTATCTCACATCCTCGCAAAATACCACTGTCACAAGTATCTTTAAGCATTATTGCTGGACACTTTACCTGACCATGAATTGTTCCAAATGACTTTGGAAAGCCTGTCCTCAGATGACCATTGCAATCTAATACAATCAAACGGCCAGCTGATGTACACACTATAATCTCCAAAGGTCCCGAGTTGCCATCTAAATCTATAACAGTTGGTGTAAAAAGCTGGTACGCTGGGAACTCAGCTGATACCTGAAAGAATAGTATTTACAGTTTACATACGAGAGAGCAGCTTAGCTCAGTTGGCTAAACTGGTGGGCTATAGCCACTATACGCACTGAACCATGGACATATCTCTTGGCCCTGGTTCAATTCCCATCGCTGCTCTCCTTGAATTTCAGCTACAGGGCTGAATTGCAAGTTACAACAGCACACTGTCTTTCGGATGAGACGTTCAAGCCGATGGTCCTGTGTGCATTATGGCCCATGTGCATGTTAAAGAATGCAGTACACTCTTCGGAAAAGAGTAGTTGATTGTCACTTGTTGTACTGCCCAATCACTACCAGAAGGACCCTACTGGAAATAAGTCTTTTTCAGACTTTGGTGGGTTATCCTTGGTGTTTACACCAAATAAATCCATCCATATGCAGTGCTTTTGAGGTGTGGTGTTTATTTTGGATTTTTTTCCAATTCAATAATGCATTGCAATGAAAACAATTGACTGACATAATTATTCAAGTATATAAAATATTCCACAATTTCAGAAGCAAACATATAAAAAATTAAACATTTAAGTATTTCTTTGTTAAATAATTACTTCAGACCTGATGCTATATCTTTATGATCTCAGCAATTACAGTTTTAAAAGCTTTACATCAGTAGTGGCACCCCTTTCCCATACCATACATTTGTTTTATTTATATCATTTTATTTCTTTATTGGGATGAAGCCACCCTCCCACCCATCTTTGGGGCCCCTGAACCTTGAGGAATCCAGTTCAAAAAACCAACCGAACCACTGATAGTTACAGTATGTCACTCAATGCTGACAGGACTTTACTTCTTTCTTAAAATGAAATTATCAACATTGTCACTTAATCAGAAATGATTCTTGAAGATCATAAATGATACTGTATGCAACTACTGACCTTTGACATCTCTAGAGGCACTTCAAATAGAACTTGGCCAGATGTTAAATTCATCACAACAATGGCACTGCACAGAAAGTTTTCAATACTTATGTTGCCAAATCTATTCCTTTTTAAATCAGTTTCAGGTAAACTGCAAAGCAAACACTACAAATGTACAATCAAATGAAACAAATTGGCAAAAGATACAAAGAATTCATTGCATGCTGCTGAACCCATTCAAACCTCTCCTGAATTACTAATTGCTTTTAGAAGGGAGAGCAGCATATAAGGCGAGACTATTTTTACACCTTTTTTTGTGAACTTATTATTTTATAGATCATCAGAGGTGGGTGGAAAAAAAAAATAAATTTGGTTTCTTTTTTATTTAGCAAAAGGTTTTGCCAAAAATATCTAGATGAAGAAGAAAAAATATATAATTTTATTGGTGAATGTAAACAGTGTAGTAATGGGATGGTTAAAATGTATATAATTAGCAAGAAATATACATATCTTATCTTTGGTGATTTCACAGCTGGCGTAATTAAAAATGAAGAAAAACTTTTATTTATTTTTTTTAATTTACATTTTTTCGTGGTGGCAGCTGCTTCTGTAAATTTATATTATTTTTATTTAAAAGTATTAAATATTTACTATATTTAAACATATTATAGGGACCCCAATGGAAACCAATTCTTATATATTTGGGTCGTCCTAAATTTATTCATTCACTTCGTTTTATTTAATGGCCGTTTTTTTTTTATATTGTATATTGTATCATGATGTAGATTTGAGATAAAAACAAATAATTGGCCAAAAATAAAATTTCATTTTTATTCAAAATCATCATTATTGGCAGTCGGTGGGTTCACTAAACAAGGTATCAAAAAAGTTTCACCTGAGAGAATAGAAGCAATAACACGGATATCTATAATTTAACCTACACACATTTGTAATGATCAGTGTGTTGTGGAAAATACATTACCTGTAAGTCTGTTCATCAAAGTAGTATGTAACTGGCATGATGAGTTCCTCTATTCTGCCATCATTGTTAAGGTCAGCAAGGACAGGTGTTGCCAAAACATGAGCATCTATGCTGATATAATCTCCATCATAGACGATACCCGACTTTCGGTTTACTCCACCATCATCAGACCCCACAAACTCAGCATCATTTTTTCTTCTTGAATGCTATTTATCAAATACCATCAAAATTAAAAATCACTTAAGTTTTGCATGCTTTACTGGACATTCATGCCCTATTTTACTTGGTATTAGGTATGCATTTTCGGAAGTAGGTCAATTCTGCCCCAAGTCAACTTGGCCCTAGCCAATTACTTGGCCCTAGCCAATTACTTGGCCCTTAGTCAACCCGGCCCCAAGGCAACTCGGTCTCAAATCAACTATGCCCCAAGGCAAATCTACCCCAAGTCAAGTCGGCCCCAAGTCACCTCATCCCCATGTCAACTCGGGCCCAATTCAAGTCGGGCGCAAGTATGCACAATAAAAGCAAATATCTTAAATGAGATCTCACAGTAATTAATAATTATAGACATACCAGTTGGTAATCCTGCTTATAAAGAATAGTGTGAATGTTGCTTGGATCCATTTCTATTTCCAAATCATACCAAGATTTCTTTACAACAACATGGCCAACCTGAATGCAGTAAAATATAAAATATTTTACAGGTTAACATGTTGAGTGGTATTTTATTTAATAACATAAGAATGAAGGCAAAAGAAAAAATAAACTTAATTTAAGGCATTCTTTGTAAGCTGACTCTTTATGCTCAACAATGTTTCAATAACTGAGATTCGTATTTAGAAATGTTTGGATTTGTTTTGGATTTCTGCATTCCTCTCTCTCTCCTTTTTTTCTACTCCCACTTTTCCTCTCTTTCTTTTATGTGGGACATCCTAGCCCCCATGAGTACTCCAATGCTTTGACCTCAATGAATTTCAGGTAAAATTGATACCACTTTAATGCACCACATGAAACAACATCTACCTAAAGAAACTTTATTTGGGTCCTTTATCTAATGCACATGAAAACCATCTTTACAAAGGAACACTTTTAAAATCTTTCCTTTCAACAATGGAAACAGGGCTTATCATTTATCAGCGAAGGAAAGCACTAACCTTTAGTGTTCTACCCTGTAGCTTTTCACCGGCAGATGTTAGGAAGATTATCTCTCCATCAGAAGTTGTTAGAAGTACCTCATTCTGGCCATCTTGGTCTATATCATACTATCATCCAAGACAAAAAAAAATAATTTCCCTAAACACCAGTATAATTACATTTGAAGGTTGCAAGATATTTCATTTAAATTCACGAGGACATTTGGATTTGGGCCCTGTGGACTGGCAATAGCCACAGTACAGTGCCTATTACAGGTCAGTTTACAATCTTTTCAGCTTTTTTTCGTGCACATGAGCTATATGAACAGACTTTAACATCTCATTCAAAATTTTACACACAACACTTAACACAATTTAGGAGCCAGGGCTGGAAAAATTGTATGGACGCATGACTGGCAGTCAGAACGCAGACGCACTCAACTATATACTGTATGTGATGACATCGCAATGCACTGCCGAATCCAATTCATTTATTTATTTATTTCGCATCCAACAGTGTATACACCCATTACAGGATGGAAATATTTAATTATATATAAACTCCTCTAATAATCATATAAACTCATCTAGGAATCATCCTAAATTTTATGTGTTAAGACGTGCACTGAACTCAATGCGCTTGATGGTCGTCAGCCGACACGATTCTAGGAAGAATACAATGCGGTGACACGCGCGCAACAGATCGTTTTGAATGATGACCCATTTAGACTGCTACCGACTATCAGCAGACGGCGTGGAATTAGATTCGTTGTGCGACGATTGTACGATGCAGTGCCCGGCCTTACAATAGCCTATCACTAAACTTGGATGGAGTGGTGCAATTTTAGCTAAGTTTGAATTCACATGAAAATGAGTACTTACTAACAAAGGACTTGCATGGAATGTAGCACCTGGGAATCTGAATGGCCAATGAGACTGGTCAGGAGTCTGACCTGTGTCCCCCCTAATTACGGATATCTCTTCTGTGAATGAAGCTATGATAATATCTAAATGTCCATCTGCATCAATGTCTGCCACTAAAGGTGTAGCTGCAATCATGCCTGAGCCACACTCTGCACTCCATGCCATTTGCAAATTATAATTACCACAATCAGGTCTACAAAGATAAACACAAGATTAGTTTTATTGATTGTCATAAATAAAATAGACAAAAACAATGTTAAAATACACTGTGACACCAAAAGGTTTGAAATTATAAGCTCAGGGCTGGAGAGGTCCTGGGTGTATTATTTGGGCTCTATGTAATAAATGTTCTATAGGCCTATACTGTAAATACAAAGTAAAGGTCATAAGTGTAATAATTTTGATGATAAATCTAATTGAGATGGTAATAATATGTCAGCAAATTTTATATAGCACTCTACACAACTACACCTTATAGCCATTCCACTTAAATGCAGGAAGTTCGACCAGAAATAACATTAGTACAAAAATTCATATTTAACTAAAATCTTAACATGTAGGCCTAGTTAAGCATTTTGAATCATCTTTAATACATAAAATTACCTACTTGAATTTGTCTTCATATTCACTGCCATGTTGAGAATAACTTTGATGGGGGGTGCATAGAACAGCAACAAGGAACACAATCATGGCTTGGTTGAAAATCTACCACATTTAAATGATACATAATCTGGAAATTTGGGGAACCTGGTAAAGAAAATAAATGTATTCTTTTTAACAAAAAAATTCACCTAGCCATTGTACTAGTAGTAACAAAAACACAAGTATAAATAAAAGTACAAATACAAGAATATAAAAGTAATTTGACCAGATTGTCATGCCTTCTCCTTCACAAAGCATTAGAAATTTAAAAACAAAACTTCAAGAAACAAGAAGCATAGGTACGTAGGTTTTTCCTTGATCCCCACCAACCAACCAACCAACCTCTAGACTTAAACTCTTGCATGCTTTTTTTTTATTAAGATGAAAATTCATGGTCACCTATCATTCAAAAAAAAATTATTGATACAGACAGCCCAAAAAACAAAACAGCGCATTCATTAAAATACATTTAGCCTACAGTATGGATGCTGTCTCTTATACACATCTAGATGTGTATAAGAGACAGGATCAGTGTATTGTGGAAAATACATTACCTGTAAGTCTGCTGTCTCTTATACACATCTAGATGTGTATAAGAGACAGTCGCTGCTCTCCTTGAAAGGCCTATCTATGCTGGATTCCCAAGCAAGGCATATCTAACGCATAGGCCTACTAGTACTAGGTCTCGCTCGAACGAACGCAGGCCTAGGTCTAGCTAGGCCTAGTACTGTAGCCTAGCTAGACTGGCTAGCCTAGGCTCTAGCTAGGCTAGTAGGTAGGGCTGGCCCTAGGCTCAGTTATTATAGATAGGGCCTTGTGTTAGGCCTAAAACTGTACGAAACTGGGAACCACCAGAAGACACTGACGCATGAAAGATTACTAACCGTACCATACCTACGTACCTGCTTGTAGTAGGCGCCTAATTATTATTTTTTGGTATACCAAATATACCTCATTATTGTAGTAGTATTTTAAAGGCCTATCTATTCTCGACTCTACGGCGGCCAGTGGTGTTTACCGTTGGCAAAAAGGATACTCAAGAGGGCGCATTCTACTAGTAGGTTAAGTTGGTTAGGGTTAAAACAACGTACCTCCCTTGGCTAATGCTGTATGGGACAGTTGGGACAGTCCCACACAATTTTTCTTAGGGCACATAGAAAAATTATTAAATTACACTCTTTAAAAAATATGATTAGGGAGGGTGGTTTTTTTTTTTTTTTTATTCGAACAATAGATTATTTCGCTTTTGTGTTTATCGATGAGGGAAGGACTGGTTGATGGCTAGAACAGGTTTAGTTATTTAAAGAAAATGTATTTGGAAGTCACAAAATTGCATTGTTATTTTATGCTGCTAAAATACTTCTTTTTTTTTTTAATTCCCGCATCAATATTTCCTTATTTATTAACTCGGGCGGGAGCAGACTAATCTAATAAATTTTTCCTAATGGGTCCACAAAGAATGGGTCGACATTTTAAAAAAGGTTTCCAAATTATGTAATTTTATGCATAAAATGGGTCGACTTTTTTAAAAATGGGTCTAGATTTTACAAATACAGATTAAAATATGTAAAATGGGTCCAGGATTTTTCATATTTTTGCGTAAGTGATGCGTACACATTTTTTAATTTTACGCGTAAAGTGGGTCCACCATGATATTGTCCCGCACTGTTTGAAAACCCTGGCTACAGCATTTTTTAGAGTATAGGATACAATAAGAGTAGTGGTTACTAAAACCCCACTCACCCCCAGCTTTTCACTTCGGCAATTCATAACAGGCCTAGAACTAAATAACCGCGAGGCCTACTGTGAGTAAAAACACTTTATTGATTTTATTTACAATTCATAACCGCAAGGGCGCAATATAGGCCTAAATAGGCCTACCCAGGAGTCCATTACCAATCCCAGGTATAAATTCCAGTGGAACCAGTTGGAAATCCCAGCTGGTCCTACTCCGGTTTCCAACTGGCTAACTGGTTTTCAACTGGTCCAACTGGAAATTCAACTGGTACAACTGGAATTCCAACTGGTACAACTGATCTCCCGAACTGGTTTAACTGGTCCAACTGGCCTATCCAACTGTTGAACTGGTCCAATTGGTAGTACCAACTGGTTGAACTGGTCCAACTGGTCTATTCAATAGGTCCAGTTGGTCCTACTGGTCTACACAATAGGTCCAGTTGGTCCAACTGGTCTACCCAGTAGGTCCAGTTGGTCCAGTACAGTCTGGTCTACCTAATAGGTCCAGTTGGTCCAACTGGTCTGCCCAATAGGTCTAGTTGGTCCAACTGGTCTACCCAATAGGTCTAGTTGGTCCAACTGGTCTACCCAATAGGTTCGGTTGGTCCAACTGGTCTACCCAGTAGGTCCAGTTGGTCCAAAACTGGTCTACCCAAGGTCCAGTTGGTTCAACTGGTCTGCCCAATAGGTCCAGTTGGTCCAACTGGTCTGCCGAATAGGTCCAGTTGGTTCAATGGTCTCCCAATATATCATCAACAGTTACATACTCGGAAACATCGTTCCGCCCCTCAATTTTTTTATTGGTTATATTTTCTCTTACTTTACAGGGGCGGATTTAGGGAGCTGGACGCCACTTTGCAGTGGATTTTCCGGCCCCCGTCGGACTGGCCTGAACCCCACCCCTCTCCGTTGTCTGATGCCACGACAGTAACAACCACGTCGGATAGGCCTTCCCCACCCACCCCATCCCCTCCCCCCCGTCGGGGAGAAAAACCGCAATTCGTCGGCGAGAAAAAAAAATCAAAAATTATGT